AGGTTATGTGTGGGTGTGCATGGTCTGAACTAGATGTGAAAGGTTACTCTGGAATGGTACATTTATAAGAACACAACCATTTGTCTAGCTTATGTGTGGGTGTGCATGGTCTGAACTAGATGTGAAAGGTTACTCTGGAATGGTACATTTATAAGAACACAACCATTTGTCTAGCTTATGTGTGGGTGTGCATGGTCTGAACTAGATGTGAAAGGTTACTCTGGAATGGTACATTTATAAGAACACAACCATATGTCTAGGTTATGTGTGGGTGTGCATGGTCTGAACTATATGTGAAAGGTTACTCTTGAGTGTTACATTTATAAGAACACAACCATATGTCTAGGTTATGTGTGGGTGTGTATGGCCTGAACTAGATGTGAAAGGTTACTCTTATAAATGTACCATTCCAGAAAACTACCAGGTGTCAATGTTATACACGTATTTGTATGATCGGAACTAGATGTGAAAGGTTACTCTAGAATGGTACATTTATAAGAACACGACCAGGTGTCAATGTTATACATGTATTTGTATGATCGGAACCAGATGTGAAAGGTTACTCTAGAATGGTACATTTATAAGAACACAACCATATGTCTAGGTTATGCGTGGGTGTGCATGGTCTGAACTAAGTGAATGAATCATGTAACTGTATTCATATATTTTTCATATTCTTACTGTTAACAGTAAGTCAATATCATTAGTCAATTAAACAAAGTATGTTTTTCATTAAAGAAACTAAGGATTACTGTAATCTGTTTCATCAGGATTTATTCTGCACAGGCAAGTTCCATGACGAGTTTGAGATTTTGTTTTTAGAATAAGTTCAATATTTTCAGTTACTGAGTAGGAAATAATATTTAGTATCTTTAAATTACAAATTTTTCAGATACTTATTAGCTTAAATGGACAACAACAAAAGAAGTTGAGAGAGAAAAGTTGAATCAGCCAACACAACATGCAACATCATCAAGAAAATAAGAAATACACAAGCAGAGTTCATAAGCTTTGTGACGATGAAGGAAGAGATGAGGACATAATAACAACCGGCAAAATAAAAGCAAAGAGAAGCATAGAAAGGCAAAGAATAAAAATGTTTTGTTGGTTCACAAAACTGTTAGGAACAGTGAATAACAACAAAGAATTGTTGAAGAACACCAGGGGATCAAGGGGAATGGGGAAGTTGGGATCATAAATGACACTGGAGAAGAAAAATTAGCTTAGCTCCTGCAGACCATTCAAAAGAAGATATAACAGCATGTTACAATATTTCACATTAATGGTTTTGCATTAAAAATGTGTATTAGTTGAAATCAGTTAATAAAACAATTCTCCAAAGCTTTCTATAACTTCAGAAAAAATTAGTTTTTCCAAAATCTTTCAACACCTGGAATGTTAAAACTAAATTACAAGACTCTACACATATTTACAAACATTGCCGTACCCAGGCAACAGAAAATGTGTAAGTGGACTGACCAATGAGATCAAAAGGAGAAAAAGGGGTAACTATCTAAATAGATCACGTGGAACTTTCAGGATAATAAGTAAGTAGTGACTAGGATATTTACTACTCTGTGTTTCAAGTGAATATATTCTTCTGGGTCTGTAAAACAGCAGCATAATGCTGAACATGTTGTAAGATGAAACAAAAAGTTGCGATGTACGAAGAAGAATTTGAAACACTTTAGTAGTTATAGAGCAGATTTATCATTAGAGGTCATAACTGAAATACATAATTTTGCTATTTTTTCTGGTCATATAATACAGACAAAATACTAGTTAAGTTTTACTGAATTAGTTAGAACATTGAAGAACAACATACGATACCACCAAACATCAAGCCCTATCTTTTTCACCAACCTGTAACAAACATAATAGGATGTAATTCAAACTTTGCTTCTACTATATTTTTATTACGTTGTATTTACAGAGTTTGCCTTTTCTCCTTAAATTTAATTTCCATGAACTTTATATCCCATAGGTTGTGTATAAAATTTAAATTACATTATCATATAACTCAATCACACAAATCATAATAGTTAGATTATTTCTAGGGCAAGTGACTAACCTACAGTTTGCATAATCTATGTCCGTGCAATTTCAAAGCTTTAAGTAATCATCCTCTGACCAAGATGGTACTCAATACTTAATGAATAATTTCTTAATGTCATAAAAACAAAGTATACTTTATAGGTACAAACTAGTTTCAAAAACACCAAAGAATTATAAAACAAGATAACCTAACCTTAAGAAAACTTGAATAAAATCATCTCCTTTGACCACTGTTCTCTTTATCTGTTGAATTAGTGTAACACTCTGGCTCTTCTTGAAGTGCAGACAAACTTCTTTTAACTATGAAAAATAAAATGTAATTACAAATACAAAATTTCAATTTTTATCATAGTCATCTTAAAATATAATATTTGTAGCATAAGCATAGGAACCAGAAAAGCTGGATGATAGAAAGGCTAAAGGTCTGGTTTCCAAAATCAAAATTTTCCCACTTTTTCCTACATTCTGATAGGACAAGTGCAGTGTAAAAACTAGGAAGTGTTTCAGATGGTTTACTTCTTTCTTAGATTTAAAAATAAAAACCATTGCTCTTTCCTTCATTTGGTATATCTGGATTTTCAAAAAGTATTATGATTTGACAAGATGTCACAGGAATGGTTTTTTGAAAACATTATCAGTATGGTTTGGGGAGATAAGTTTGCTTGTTGGACAAAAAAAAGAAAAGAAAATAGCTGGAGGAAAGGCAGCAGAGAGTTATAACTCGAGTTGGGTCAAACATAATAAACACAGAGAGAATTAAAATTGAGAAAATCCAACATGTAATGTCATAAAAGCAAGAAAATTTTACATAAACAAACAGGACATGATACTACACTACAATGTGTTCTGATCGTAAATGTATGTAAAAGCTTTACAATTGACCAATGTTCTCAAATGGATAACTTTTTAAATGCTGTTATACTATAAAGGTAAATTAATAGAACTATACAGATTTATTTACACATGGTTTTCACAAATAGTTGTACACTTTTTTTTTAATTTAAAATGTTCTAACATTTAAATGAAAACAAAAAAGACATCTGGTAAAGTAGATATTGATCAAAAACCTTCAAGTTCTATTCCATATTGCAAAGTTTTATGTCAACCAAAATTCAGGATTTTGTCAAAAGGTTGAATGTCCTGCAGAAAAATCTAAACCATTCTGTGGAAAGAATGTGTATTGTTCTTGTGCAATGTCAATGAGACTATGTACAGGAACCATCAAATTATGCAACTTAATAATAACAATCAGATAAAGGGCACAGAATCTCCATGCAATCTAAGAGGATCACTGTAGAATCTAGCATAATTAGGGGCACTGATGTCTCAATAAGAATCACTTGACTCATATCTAGATATGCCAGAGAACTTTTCCCCATAGATGGAAGTTGATTATATTACTGAAATGATTTTTCCAGTAAGATGGCATATAACCACATTTTGTATTTTGTGTTTGTGAGATATGGAACAATGTCCTACTGAAGTGCTAGACTGGCTATGGAGGACCATTATATCAATTCACATACTCCAGATAAAGCCACCAAACTTTCATGAGTAGGGACACTTAAAGCCTACAGATTAAACCTTGTGTCCTGCTCAATGTGAAATCTAACACACATCGTAAAAGAGACAGATTTAACATAATTTGAAAACATGTGCTCTTAAAAATATGTAAAAATGACAAAAGTGACTGTTCAAGAGCAAATATGTCAACAGAGGTCATGTTGAGGCAGTATAAACCTAAGGGTGTGTTGACCAACATGTATATTGCAACATGTTTTATTTTTTTGGTTTAAAAGATATTTCAATGTAGAATGTAAAGTTAACATTTTCCTCCTATCACAAAAAGCTTATTCGACTTGTACTGTCCTCTATCGGTGCAAATTTACCCTCAACACTAGCTTTGATACTAACATGCAAATGATTATGCAGCAACCCCCCACCAATAGGAGTGCGACACTACTCCTATCGTAACTAGCATCCTCTCTAATCCTGCAACTGTTAACCACTTCGAGATTGGTCAGATCACACCAAACCACATCAAAAGTGGGAAGGAAAGGTGGGAAATGTGAGAGGAGGTAAGTAGCTATCGGAAATACATTTTCAGTTTAGGAAAATGTTAAGTTCTGATACGATATCTTACCTTCTCTCACAAAAAGCTTGAATCCCACAATGAACTGGTGAAGGGCCAGTGAGAAGATTATCCCCCTTTAGGAAGCAGCCAAAGGAAAACCATGGGGTGTTAGAAAAAATTAAAAACAACACACCCAGGGGAGGCTGCACTACTTCTGAGCCAGGTATACTCTTTGCCAAAAAGAGTGGAAACATTGAAGGACCCAAAGAAAATAATTATAGAAACAATGGGACCCCATGGTGTAGAGTGGTTAGGACATGACAGACCATAGATGGGAGTACAACCTCAACCAACACCTGGTAGCATCTGGAATTGTACATTATGTTTGCAGTAGGAAGAGGGTCCTCGAGCATAAAGAAATGACCAGGAAAGAGGATAATGTAGGAACTAAGAAAACAAAAATATGGCGAATATCAAATGCAAACACATCAGAACAATAATGTTTACACACTTACAAGAGCAGATACAGGGTCCTTCAAGAATAAGTGATTTAAAGTACATAAAGACAAAAGGTCCAATGGAGGATGGGAAAGAACATGGAGGACCAAATACAGGTGCTAATTTTGAAGGGAAGCAGAGCAAGGAGTACAGAAAAAATGAAAGAAATTAAACAACATGGATAAGACTGCCAATTGGGAAACACAAGCAAAGTCAGTAAACCAAAAAGTGGTATTAACACCACCCTATAGCTCACAACAGAGGAAACCAAAAAGCCCCATTAAAAAAACAAAGGTAAAAAAAAGATTGTATGTGAGGAACCTTAGGATGGGAAGGACTATCATCCCTTAGGACAGACCAGAAATGGTATGTGTACTCCGTATATAGGTAAACCACCATGGAGGAAGAAAGAACAGGATCAAAAACAAAAGAACCTACAAATGAAAATCAGACCATTCAGGCGAGGGACCGGACAAAGCCACATGTGAAGACAGAGTGAAGGTACAGACAGATGATGCATGCTGGAGTGTGGCTGTGTCAGAAATAAAGGAAGATAAAGGGAGGCGACACCAAAAACCGGTGCAGCAGTGGAAATCCTATGCAAGCCAGCCAATATATAACCAGCAGCAGAACACTACACTGAGTGGTCTGAAGTACGACAAGGACATGTGGAAAGAGACAAATAGGAGGATATGCATATAGGTACCAACCCTACCAATCCCAACTGATAACACTGACTGCTCCTGTCAGAGGATGAAGAACAAGGGACCCAAAGTTGGGGAAGTGGTGTATTGAGAAAATGGCAAAAAATGTCCAACTCACGGACACCTCACAGAGCACACAAAACCCCAAAAATGCGTAGATCCAAATCCCACACCACAGGGAAAATCTTGTCAGGACAGGATAATGGATCTCTAACCAGATTCAGGGCACATAGATTATGACATGGCAACTAAGTGATGGGAATGGCAATGGGCCCAACATAGAAGATTCAATGCCAAGTGATGTATGAGACTACCATAGAAATGTTGGAGTGAACCATCACCAACTAACCTTTAGGAAACTGCAGTAAGTGAAGAAAAGCCCAACGAATACCAAGAAGTTTCTGAACTGATATGGGTAGAGGGTTCACAAAGAGATCATAGTCTCAAAACCTCCTGATGTCGAGATACACCCCCAATTGAAAAAAAAAGCACCCATAAAAGATGCCATACCGGACGAGGAGGAGGAAGAGGAACATCTGTGGTAACATTGTTCCGATCCAACCACCAGTTGAATTCAGTCTGTAAGGGAGAGGGAAGAGGGGTTAGCTAAGGGATCTCAAACAAGGTTCCATTGGTCTATCAAAATCCACTGACGATGATGCATGATGGCATGTCCAAGAGGAATAAGGGCTTTGAGAGAAGCCCATGTCCCCAAAAGAGAGAGAACCTCTTGTGCAGTTGGAGAAGGAGAAGTTGAGATGCTGCATACAAGACATGAGGCATTCCATAGCTCACAACAGAATTGCAGCAGGTAGAGCCTGACAGAAAAGGGGTTTGAAAATTACTCCAAGATGAACCCAAAAATGTGTGGGTGTAAGGACAAGTTGCCAACCCACCTGGAAAAGAAACTGAGGATGTAGGACTGAATAGTCTTATGAGGAGGCAAGAAGCAACCATACATCCATAGAACAGTGGAAATGAAGGCCCTCTGGAATGAATCATGTAGAAAAAAATAGGAACACAAGGAAATGGGAAGGAAAACGGGGAAGAATGAAAGTAGAGGATCAGACTTATTGAAACGACTTTAATAACCCATTGTTTGACTGCCAAGGACCTCCAAACATGCACAAATTAAAGAAGTATGGCCCCCACCAGCCCTGACACAAAATGGGTGGTCTGAATAAGACAAATATAGGAAAAAGTAATTGAATTATCATGGTCCAATCCCCAATATGAGAGAAGCAACACTAATGCTGTGACTCCTAATAAGGGAAGTTGAAATGAGGAAAATTGAAAGTATGATCAACAGACGTACATGGGGATCACAAGGCATACTGACTCCTCAAATGCAAATGCTTCTCCAAAATCATTCACATGAACCCCAGTATCCAGGGAAAGAGGAAACACTAAAAAATGACACAAAGGCTATTCCTGGGGAAGACCAGAGGTGGAACATAGGAAATGGAAGATAAGGACAGAACATCACATACCTGAATAATAAAATCCACCAAAGGGGAAGGAAGTCTGGGCAAATCCCCCAAAATGACACGTGACTGAGAGGCATATTCAGGAGGAGGGAAAACCAAAGTAGAAAAATTAAGAAAGTGAAAACTTGTGGATAAGTGAATCAAATCACAAGAGAAAAAAAATGTTAATTCAATAAGACTGCCAATCGAGAAATGTTTAACAGCTGCAAGATTAAAGAGAGTGCTAGTTACAATAGGGGTGGTGTCACACTCCTATTGGTGGATAGTTGCTCCTTAATCATTTACATGTTACTATGCAGAAATAAGTGGGAGTATCAAGGCTGGTGGAGGTAAGATATCATATTGGAATAACCATTTGTATTCACCCTGCTTTATAATGTATAAAGCAGTTTAAAGGTCATTGAAAATACTTGACAGCAAGTAACATACGTTTTTTATTGAAGATAACTTTACACACAATTCTTAGTTTTTCATTAGCTTGGCTACATACATGTTCATACCTTAGTCAATGATATGTCTTCTTCTTGTACTTCTTCCTCAGCAAGCGTAGCTCGTTTTTTACCCAAGATATTCCACTTCTGGTCATTTCGAGCATCTGGAAGAATAAAGATATGTTAACAAAGAAAACCTAATTCTGTCAGTATAGTACGTGAAAGAACAACTCTCACAGCATGCAAATCAAAACTCCACCACAAAAAGAACTTTATTTTACAATATGTGACGATGATGATTTATTTGAAGTTAAAAGGGTTTGAATATTTGAGGGTTGTAGCATAGGAATATTGAAACATGAACTAGTAATCTTTCATGAAAACTTAACCAATGCTCTCAGAAGTTCAGATACTTGCAAGTTACAATGCAACTAGAATAGATACATACAAGGCACTAAACTATCAATCAGCTCACAGCTAAGGTATACTGTTGAAAAAATGAAATATGTCACACACAGTAAACATCAGCATAAAGTACACTTTTTTATGAGGAGACATTGAACCAAGTTATTTGGTTATGGATGATACCAAAAACCAGTAATGTATTGTTACGTATCTGGTCGTTTGTTAATTTCTGGTATAAATTCTTTCCGAGGAACTTCAGCAATACAAGTCCGTTCTTAATTAAAATGAGTTTATTCTTTCTCAATACAACTTTGTAATACACAGAATTTCCACAGTCACTTTAAACTTAACAACCTTTATAACACAAACTATAAATCACAGTGGTTCACACATTTACTTACGGTGCCTACTGACTCAATGATCTCTATCTTCAATCTATCTGCCTCTCTATTCTTTATTTGCCAGAGGGCATCCCAAACAAATTAGGAAATTCATGATCATTCGGGAAACTCCTCGCACATGCCACCAGTGCCAATGCACCAGCAGCGTCACATGACTTCTGCTGTCGTAACACCACGTATCAAAATCACTGTGATATTAAAACTATCTAGATTAAAAATTCCCTCATATAACAAAAAAACAAACAAACTCAAACCATGCATATTTCAAAAAGTACTCAAATTTTGAAATTGTAAGTTTAGCAGGTTACCATATCTTTCCACCACTTTTCAAATTTTTTTAACAACTTGGCCGAGAAAATAGGTAGTTCTATAAGTTTCACCTCAAAAAATTATTGTTCTAACTTATTTACATTCATAAACTTTCTCTTTTAATAATAACTGATTAGTGTATGTATTATGAGTAACTATAAAGTATTTCATTTTTTGAAGACATTTCATTATAAAGTATCTTATTACTATACTGCTCAGCTGAATGATTTAGTACTTGAAAAGTCCAAACTACAAAATAAATTTGAAGAAATATTTACTAAAAAATATCATTAAGAGTTGTTTTATAGCACATTAGTGATGGTCCTTTTGTATGTTTCTTCTCAAAGGCTTAGCCTACATTGGTGTGGCTGCAAGTTATCTAGTCATTCAGACTCTATATATAAACTAACCACGAAAGGATCCTCTTTACTGTATTCGTTAATCACAAATAGTCCGTTTGACTTCTGCCCACTAAGATCCACACAGTCAATGTAATTTAGTTACTGATTCTGTTTTACTGCATACTATTTCTGTATTTTACTTCATTATTTGGATTACCTATAGCCTCTAGTATCCTATTATCCAACTTGGAATTTTCGTTATGTTTCTTTTTGGAAGACAACCCATCTTTTTTTTAAAATATTTTCTTCTTAGAGATGACATTCCACCCATCTTGTTTTACTATCCCATTCCTATTCATCTTATCTACATCTACATTGCTTTTGCTACCACAATCTTCACTCATTATATTTTATGAAATTTCAATGATGATGCCGTTACTTACATTCACTGGATGATTTGTGTGGTGCTTCTCTTTACTCACACTGCCCACCTAACATTAACCCTACCTGAATATATACCTATAGGAGGGTGACACAATCTCCTTGGGAAGTACTCCCCTTGAACACTTTGTGTGAACCAAAAGCTCATTGTTGATGAGGCAAACAGGCGCATCAAAAATGAGAAGGAAGGGTAGGTGGTGATTCTGTGGAGATGTGAGTATACACATGAAACACATTTTTAGATAAGAAAAATTATAACCTCAGACAATGCTCTTCACTAATCTGTAAAAGAACATTTAGTTTGAATTCCACATTGAGAAGACAGTAGAGGGACAGCATTAAGAAAGAAATTAAAAAGAGGAGTTCTTTTCTGACACTAAAGCAACAGAAAGGGAAAACTCATGGAGTGTGTCTTCCTCTCCACTAGAGAAATTGAGATGGTGGAAATCACAGAGAGAAAACTGGAGAGGTGCATAACTGAAACATAAGGTCTCCCACTGACAGACAGTGCAATGGGTTACTATGAATAGTAACAGTAGGAGCTGTCTTGTTTAGTAGTTGTTAAGTTAATTTTTTCTGTATGGATTGGAGGGTAATATATAATGCTGAAGTAGTGTTGCAGAAAAATCCGATCTTAACAATCGGCACTGATTAGGGGCAAATAGGTTTTAATATTTTCTGTTATGTCCTACTTGATTCAGATTTTGGGATACACAAGCTTTCCCTGCGAGACAATGCCAGCTGCTCTGTAGGTTCCTTTGTCTTTTTGTTTCTTTCCTTTCTAAGTTGAAGCTTATATGAGAAGAAATCATCTCTTTAGAACCTCCTGAGAAATTGGAGAATAGTGACCAGAGGGACATGAAACTTAGAGGCTGACAAACCTCAATGTGAAGTAAATAATATGACAAAGATGTCTAGAATCATCCACATTCCTGCTTGCAGTATTTCACCCAGGGCGCAGAAATGGCCAAAAGCAAGATATGAAGAATATGAAAGGATGCGTTATTAAAATAAGGAATATTATCTTTCCATACAAGAACAGACAAGCTGGATGAGTTACTTAATCCATCCAGTTGAAGTGGAAGGAGACAAGTTTCAAGAAAAAAATGTCTTTTTATTGCCTCTCAAAGAAGCTGTGCAAACAACGTAACATTGCAATGCCCACACAGGAAAAAGGAGATGAGTGAGGTCTTTACAGTCATATAGAGAAGAAATGGAAGGAAGGACACTTGGAAAAACAATCCAATCTCTCTCTCTCTTGAGCAGTCTAAGTATTGAAAAGGAAGAAGCACTCTGGAAATAAAATCAACCTGTACATGCAATAAAAAACCATGGGAGGCATCAAAGCCAATAATATCTGAGCAACATCTCCTGAACACATCTTAAGAAGATGATGATACAGAGAACAGGTTGTCAAAGATTCAAATGAAAGTCTTGTGAATGCCCCGAGAACAAAAAAAGAAAAAAAAGAGAGATTCTAATGCAGAAGGATAAATAAGTGTATGGGGAGTGGTTCATATGCCAGAACAAACTATATCCTCTAATGGTCGATGGAATAAAGCAGCCAGGGACATGGTAAGGTGATGGATTTGATGGGAGGAGACTTGGAATAGATGACAATCATCAGGAGACACGAAAGAATATGCCAAGCAAATAAGCTGGCAAATCCAACCCCATAAAAGTAATAGGAGAAATATCATAGGAAAGGGAAGGATTCCAATGAAAGAACAAATGGGAACAGGAACCGTGAAAGGGAGCAGTGTGAGACACGTAAGAGCAGAAAGCCCAGATAGGACATAAGAGGTGATTCAGATATGAACGATAATAAAGGTGAGAAATGGGAGTGAAGGCAAAATTGCCCTCATGTGCAGCCAATGTTTTGGGCAGAAAAGACTGATCCAGGTAGAGGATGATATAACATGCGATAAACATCAAGAGCAAAGAAATCTGAGCATCAACATCCACATGTCAAAATGAGGACAAAAAAAGTTTTTTAAGGAGAGATGATACAAAAAACAGTATGACATAGGTTCGAAGAGAAGAAGTGTAAGGGCATGGAGGAAGACATTTAGGTTCCAATCAGGAAGGGCAGTAGGATGTGGGGGGGGGGATGACAAAGGTGGAAGAAACTAAACAATATGGTGAAAACTAGAAAAGTGAAGACACAGCAAATTCGTGTGAAATGGAAAGTGGCTGAAAAAGCCACACAATAACCAGCAATGGTGGATACCAGAAACCCCTTGTCAAACAGGCAGGTAAGGAAATGTGGGATAGTAGGATGGAATGGAGGAAAACCACAATGATAAAAACCAATGGCAATAAACATATCACTTAAATTGATAAACTGACATGGAAGAAGGGCAAAAAGAATAAAAAATCAAGGAAGCAGAAAGTCTGGTCTATCTGGCAAGGGACTGGATGAAAGCCACACATGAAGATGGAGTGTTCAAATGGAAGGATGTAGCATGCCCAAATGAGGTTGTCTGAGGAGTGTGGGTGAGAGGGAAAGAATAAGAGGAAGTATCAATAGGAGTGGGTAAAGAAGTGGAAACCACAGATGTATGGGCCAAAGTGAAGCCACTAAGAGGACGTGACATGAAGTGGCTTGTATGATAGATAAGATATGAGGAAGAAGTTGGAGGGGGGAAATAGGTATAGAGGTAAAGGCCCCAATCTTGACTGTGGGCATCGACAGCCACATCTGAAGAATGTGGAATTTGGGACCAAAATCTCAGGAGCTTAGAATTCAAGTGGTTGGTTATAGCATTCAGTACTGGGGTACCTAACTGGGAACACAGCCAGCTGAACACCTGTGGGATGAAGGACCATTCCATGGGGAGAATATTCTCGAGGCACAATAAATAATCCACAACCAGATTTAGGGCACCCAGTATATGACATGCAACAAACAAATGTAATGGCTGTGGGCCCAAAACAAAAGGTTCAGTGTGTGGAAACAATGAGACCTCGACCAAGTGCCCCTTGCCGAGTGATTTAGGACCCAATTGTTGAGTTGTCGGAATGGATCATAACTGACTGATTCCCAAGAGACAGAAGGAAGTGAACCAAAGTCTGAGGGGCAGTGAGCAGTTTCAAGAGATTGATATGCAAAGATAACTCATTGACAGACCAACAGCTCAACATCACCTGCATGTCTGCACTCCAACTTGAAAGAGAAGCATCCATGAAAAGATGCACCTTCGGACAAGGAGAAAGAACACTCACTGTGGTGTTGCCTCTGTCCATCCACCAGGTATAGTCCACATGAAGGAAAGGAGGGAAATGGATAAGGACATACAAGTGATTTCGAACAAGGTTCCACTGATCTTGTAAAGCCCACTGAAGAGGATGCATGTGGGGTCATCCAAGGGGAAAGAGGGCCTCCAAAAAAATATAAATCCTCAAAAGAGATAGAACCTCTCATGCAGTTGGAAAAGGAGAGGAGGAAACAGTCCAAACCAGAAGTTCCATAGATCTTAGGCAAAGAGGAGAAGGGTGAGCCTAGCTGAGAGGGGAATTGAAGAATACCCCAAGATGAACAAGATGTTAAGTGGGAGAGAGGAAGGACTTCACCTTGAACGGCCAACCTACCTGTGCAGCTTCTTGAAGAAGAAATTGAGTGTGATGGGAAGAGGTGATATGTGAACGAGCTAGAAACAGCCAGTTGTCAATATAATGGTGGAAACAAAGTATACTTAACAAGAGTCCTCCACTAGGCAAGTCTAGATCATCATCTTCTCAACTGCAAGCAGCTAAAGGTTCAAATACATTGAGACTGTGAGTATCTGAATATTAACTGTATCTACCTCTATAGTTCTAACCATACACACCTGTTAATATCCAGCACTCCCAACACAGCTGTATTTCAATATTTCAGTAAATCATTTAGAAGTAGCAATTAATTGTGTATAACTAGATTTTTTGTAAATCTGTAGTAATTAACAGTGTCATTATTTATGAATTAGGGAATTTTGGTATAAGTTTATCTGCAGTTAAATTTATATGCTGTAAAGTAGTTTTAATGGTACTAGTTAGATACAGCTTTGTGGAAGAGCGCTCTATTAGAGTGGATAAGTAATAGATTAGGAGTAAAAATCATGGAAGCAAAACAGGAAATGGATAGCTGTAGGAGTGATATTAAACAAATTGTTCTGAGAAATAGGTATTCAATAAAACAAAACAGGAAATGGATAGCTGTAAAAGTAATATTAAACCAATTGTTCTGAGAAATAGGTATTCAATAAAACAAAACAGGAAATGGATAACTGTAGGAGTGATATTAAACCAATTGTTCTGAGAAATAGGTATTCAATAAAACAAAACAGGAAATGGATAGCTGTAGGAGTGATATTAAACCAACTGTTCTGAGAAATAGGTATTCAGTAAAACGAAACAGGAAATGGATAGCTGTAGGAGTGATATTAAACAAATTGTTCTGAGAAATAGGTATTCAATAAAACGAAACAGGAAATGGATAGCTGTAGGAGTGATATTAAACAAACTGTTCTGAGAAATAGATATTCAATAAAACGAAACAGGAAATGAGTAGCTGTAGGAGTGATATTAAACAAATTGTTCTGAGAAATAGATATTCAATAAAACGAAACAGGAAATGAGTAGCTGTAGGAGTGATATTAAACAAATTGTTCTGAGAAATAGATATTCAATAAAACAAAACAGGAAATGGATAGCTGTAGGAGTGATATTAAACCAATTGTTCTGAGAAATAGGTATTCAATAAAACAAAACAGGAAATAGATAACTGTAGGAGTGATATTAAACCAATTGTTCTGAGAAATAGGTATTCAACAAAAGGAATAATTTTATAATTAATTAAAAACTCAGAAATGTTCTAAATTAATGTGTAAATTTCATAAATAAATGTATGATTTACTTTACTTAATACTTGTTATGATCTGAGAACACACTCACCTGCAAAATATTTTGGAAAATGTCACATTCATATTACAACTAAAAAGGTGATATAGGTGACTATACAACACCATGTTTCTATGTATATTTAAAATTAAACCTGGCAATGGGAGTGTTGTTTATTTATAAACAACACTCTAGATTGGTTGAGTTTCAGAACTTAACAAAACTTTCTGCCCCTGAAACTTTCTTTACATTTCCAGAAATTTTCCCCCAAGTGATGAAAGAAAAGAATCTCTAGCATAGTAGTGTACACATCAGTCAAACCATCAAGGTAGTGCTCTTTTTTCAAGCAGTAAAGCTAACAGAATTGTAGAATGTGTTTATACACCTACGAATTACAAGTCAAGAGAGGTAATTATTTCTCTATACAAATCACTACTTAGGCCTCACTTGGAATATTGTGTGCAGTTATGATTTGCTTATCTAATAAAGGATATTTGGCTTATTAGAAAGGGGTTAAAATAGGGTTACTATTATGATTTTGGGGATGTAAAGATAATATTATAGTCATAAGTTAAGATCTAATTTATCTGGAGAAAAAAATGGGTAAGAGGAGATCTTATTGAAGTTTACAAAATTATCTGAGAGACTGATAGGATAAAGTTCTCTAATTTATTGTACTATATTCTGAAGACAACTGGACTAGAGAACACAAGTTTCATTTTTGGTAAAAAAAAAAGGCTAGACTCCACTTTTTTATGTCATCAATGATAATACTAATGGTAATACTACTTTGTGATTAACAATACTATTACTAGTGATTGTATTAGTAATACAATAGGGTTTTAATATTACTAACATGTTACTGTCACAGTACTAGTACTACTACTAACATATAAATTATAATTAAAAATCATGTCCTTATCTCCTACACTAGTACAAACGCAAATAATTTGAAAGATACTTCTAACTAATTTCTTAGTGTTACATTTACTCGTATACAAAGCTACAATAGGGACTAACTAGGGTACTGAGACCAAACGCTTGTTACACCAAAGTTATTAAGTCCTTAAAAATTTTCCACTGCTCTACCACTGGTAGTACCAGTACTAATACCATTACCATGTAATTTTTCTCGTAGCTTCTTTCGTATTTCAGGAACACTCTCCATCGGGTTGAGCACTAACTGCTTGACGTTACATATACTATAGTTTATTCTCACCGTCACAGATAATAATACTCGAGAGTAGACTTAACTACACATTCAGGCTCTTTGAATTTACAAAATTTTACGATAAAGAGCCTTTACTACTATTTAACCGAGGTACAAGCTGGTTATCGTTGTAGATATTTTGTTTCGAATTAGATGCTGAATATCTCCTAGTGTCACCTATCGACTTTGAATAAGTGATGTACTAAAAATAAAAAGTATGTAATTTTGTTTTTTTATTTTTAAGAAGTGGGATATCCTATGCCAGGGTCCTTCTTAGAAACCTGTCAATAAGCTGAGTTTTCGTCATCTCAACCATACTTATGAAAATGTAGTCACTAAATCAGTTAGTGTTGGCTGTAAATTGGTCCATCAAGATGCCTAAATTAAGTCTTTGTTATCATCTCAGTTGGCCCCAGCATGGTGATTAGGGCGTTCGACTTGCAATCTGCGTGTGCGAGTTCGAATCCTGTCATCGAATGTGTTCGCTCTTACAGCCGTGTGGACATTATAATGTGCGACAAATCTCACTTTTGGTTGATAAAAGAGTAGCCAAAGATTTGGCGGTGGGCGATATGAGCTAACTGTCTTCTCTCTAGTCTTTCACCTCAAAATTACGGATGGCTAGTGCAGATAGCCCTCGAATAGCTTTGCGCGTAATTCAACAAGCAAATAAACAAAACCATCTCATTAAGGCTGACATTTTGGGATCGGGACTTAGGGGGCCTTGCCTGTCTAGTTTAAATCCTGTTCCCCTCCCCCAATTTTAGTTTCCACATTGAAATTATATATATATATATATATATGTTACGATAGCGGAAGTCAAGTGACGCTGGTACCACGTGTTGAGAGCCTAGAAGATTCTAGAAGAGGCGGTATTATCGTGTATAAGTGCGCTAGACAAAGGAGAGAGAGTGGGGAACCAAGTACAGCAGTTACGGTCGGCGGGTACCGAGGATAGCAGGTACAGAGATCGGAACTATAGTTGCTGACAGGGGGAGATAGAGACGGACAATTGAGTCAAGCGCGGTAGAAAGTGAGTGAATTGTTGTAAACTATAGTGTGTGCAACTGTGAAAATTAAGTGTACTGCAAAGTTGTATTGAGGAAGAATAAACAAGTTTTATTTAAGAAAGGACTTGTATCGTAGAAAAATTAACAAACAAACATACAGAGACGTAACATATATATATTGTTACGTCTCCGTTTGTTAATTAACTTTCCGTAACTTCGTTCCGACGAAACTTTAGCGACACAAGTTCTTTACTTAATAAAACTGGTTTATTCTTTCCGAATACAACTTTACGATACACTTATTTCCAACAATCGCGCTAAAACAAACGCTATATCAACGAACGTCAATAATACTTCTGACTGCAGTTCAATTACTCACTATCTTCACACACACATTACATTATCCTGTCACGTTGTCACCCTCTTTTATATACCCGACTACCCTATATCTAGTAAATACTAGAGCATTTGCCAAGGTACAGGATAGTTCTAGAAACGTGGCGTCACAGTAGTCATGTGACTCGCTGACGCAACACTGTCCCCTCCTTAATATTGTTCGTCCCGAACAATAACCACATATGATAAACCAATAACAATAACTTAATTAAAATGTACAGAATTACAAACACAAAATTACAATTCAACAAAGTATCTTAATTTTACGGGACGTATCGTCTTCCGTACTGGTCTCCGTCTCGTTGGCTTCTGCTTCATGTGGGGTTCATCTGCTTCATCAGTAAATGTACTATCATCGGTAACAGTCACATCAGTGGTAGTAACTTCATCAAGAGCTTCACCGTTTCCCTTCTCAAAACTGAGTAGTGTTTCTTCTTCAATGGTGGCTTCTTCAGGTGGCACGTCTTCAGCAGCGTCATTTGTTCTGTTGTCCACTTCATCCCAACTGAAATGTCCTGGACCGTGATAACGCCAAAGCCTATTGGCATGCACCACTTTTGGCTTACCTCGCCGACAACATTTTATCCGGAAAGTCACGTCTGAGAGACGATTCACTATGTCATATGAGCCTTCCCATGGAGAAGACAACTTAGGAGACTTCCCTTTTGTCCTCCTAGGATTATACAACCATACCTTGTCTCCAGGTACAAACCTGACTTCAGTAGAT